AATGCCTCTGCCTTCATACTGCAAGATACTCTCTTCAGACACGCATATAGGAACAACAAAATACAAAGGCAGCCTAAGATAACAAAAAAAGAGTTTCTTGCACTTAAACTGAACAATCTCCAAGCTCCTTTTAATGATGGCGAGAGTGTTCTAGCCTACATACTAATTATACATTCACTCTTACAGCTACAATAATCTTTCCTAATAGATAATTATATTGTCCTCAACACCCTCCCTTTATTTTCAGCTGGATAAGGTATCTTCTTCCCATCTTGAGATGTTAATTATTTTCACTGCAACATACCCCTGCCTTTCCAAGGCTGCAATTAAGCCCTACATTTAATTGTAACACAATTGTTAAGACCATCTTGGTTCTCTCACTCTGTTGTTCCCAAAGATATCCTTGTGCTATTAGATAACTAGTTCTGTTTCCATGTCTTGTAAGCAGTTCACATCACAATTCAAGGACATCATTTAATATATCACGAACTTCCAGTATCGGCCAATACTATTTATGTTCAAGGCCCGCAGAAGCAACAAAGATAAGTACTTAACCTCAGCTTGAGTCTCAAGGCAGACTATAAAAAAAAATTTCCAGAAAATAGTTAAGACTTCTTTGGGAATTGGTGTTTTTTTCCCAAGGCCTGTGAAACCTTTCAGGATTTGACTATTAAACAACAGTAGCATACAAAGCCTTGTATACATCTTAAAGGGTTCACCAATAGATACTACTTAGCTAAACTGGTAGAAGTATACATCTCTAACCTTCCACTAAAGGCAATGCAACTTAACTTCCATCAGCACATTTTGCAGATATATTTTAAGACCAGTTGCTCCTTCCCCACTCAGCCCCACAACTAAATCAGAAAATCTCAAGTGCATGTAACCTGTAATTTTACCAGAGCAAAGGTACAGGGCTGAGAAAATGTCATCTTAATCACTAAGTATGACAAAAGCATAGGTAGCAGACCTACAAGTTTTCTATTTCATTTTAAGGTGGAATTCTCCACCCCTAGAGATATTCAAAGCTTGACTGACCAAGGTCCTCAGTAGCCTGACCTAATGTTAAGTTAACCCTGCTTGAGCAGAGATTGTTGACTTCCTGAGGTATCAAATCAAAACATTCCATAAACCAAAATGGAGATCCTAGAAAAAACCCTAAACAACTGTATAATGCTCAGCATCAAAGGTAGTACTGATTTTTGCAAATCTTTGAAATGTATATCTGAAGTTCACTATTAACCAGGGCAAGCTTACTTTTCAGAGACTCTGTAGCCTTCATTGGTAGTCACTGCTTTGTATTTCACATTCCCCTTAGTCCGCTCCAACTCATCACGCCAGTCCTCAAGAGTATCAAACATCACAGTTTGGTTTCTTCTATCTGTCAGATATCAGTAACATTAATTTTGCTGAGTATCAGGAACTCTAACACAAAAGCATTCCTAAATCAGGAATTTAGTTTCCATTAAGGTGAGCAAGCAAAACCTCTTGTGTACAGAAAGGCTCAAGTCAAAGATAAAATGCCTTTGTACAACACACTGCTTCTGTCTGGTCTTTAACAACACATCTTCTGTCAAATATAACTTTAACAACTTCAGGAATAGTTTCTCCTATAGAAACTAATCAGTTTTTACAGAACTTCTATACAGTTGAGGCTGTCCTCACATCCAGCCTAAAATCCAGGATACTGTGCAGCAAATACCACTGTATACTAGTGCAGATGACTGGCATCTAATAAACATAGAATTAATAATCATACCAATAGCTTTTCTGCAATTCAGATACTGCATTTCACTTACAAGTTCATTCTTTCAGTATGGATAGGAGTTTTGCCCTGAACAGAATATTTCAGGCACTTGATAAGAGCAGAAAATTGATCACAGCAGTTCAGTCTCAATCATTTCAACTGAGAACTTTTACTGTATTTCTATTTAGCCACCTCAGCTAGTTACAGTTACAGCAGGCTGATTTAGCCTCAGACCTTGTGTAATAACCATGTAATTTATGGACTAAGGCAAATGGCTTTAGACACGACACTTGTCATAATTAAGTGTCCTGCAACATCAGCTAGCACTGAAATAGGATTTCCTTGGAAGATACAATGGCAAGTTGAAGCTTTCCACCATAAGAAGATAAGGTAGATGAAAAATTTACAGCTGGAAACAGAACATTATTAATGAGCTCTAAGCAACAAGTTAAGACTAAGACTATCAGACCAAAGAGGCATAAACTGCAATTTTCAAAGTCTCTTTGGTTTCTCCTGTAACAACTTCATGAAGAATGAGATCTAGGCATTTATGACTGAAGATAGTTGTTAAAATATGAAAGAATTCTGGTACAGCACTTCGATCTTGCTATAAAGAATGGGCTTCTCGTGTTTGCTTAGTCTCTACCTGGAAAAGCTTAACAGCCTTTCTGACATCTGTATCTCAAACCACACAGCACCTACAGACAAAGCCTGCAGGAACCACCTGAGCAGCAGCGTGCCCTTACAGAAAAGGCGGTCAACATATTCTTGGGCTGCATTAGGAAAGACTGCCAACAGCTTGAATGAGGTGACTGTTGCTCTCAGCTCAGCACTGGTAAGGTCATGCCTGGGGTGCTGTGTCCCCTAGTACAAGACAGGAACAGGCTGCTGGACCAAGTCCACTAAAGGCCCATTAAGACCACAAAAGGACTTGAAGCATTTGAAATGAGGAGAGACTGAGAGCTGGGACCATTCATCTTGAAGAACAGAAGGTTCAGTGGGGCTGCAGAAGGGCAAGAAATCTTTCCAGCGCGTATAAACACTTGATTCGTGTCAGAAGCAGAGGAGGGGAGTAAAGAACATGGACTTTTACTCAGTGGTATCCAGCGACATGACAAAAGGAAGCGCACACAAGCTGAACCACAGCAAACCCTATTTAAATGCAATAAACTTTTTCACTATCAGGATGATCAAATAATAAAATAGGCTGTCCAGAAAGGTTGTGGAGTCTCAGTCCTTGGAGATACTCAAAATCCAATTGGACATGACCCAGGTAAACTTGTAGTTAATCCTACTCTAAACATGGGCAGATGGACAGGAACATGACATGATTATCTCCATTCTAACCTCAATGCTTCTATAATTCCTTGACATATTTGATAAGTGTTTGATTAACACCTTGGGTGCACCAAAACTTCCCTCTGTGAAATAAATAGGTGTTCCTGGTGCACTGAGTATCAGATTCCTAATTCAAAAGTCATGATTATTTCAGATGACATCTAAGCTACAAAATGCTAGAAAGTGCACTGACAACTTATCTTGAATTTTGCAGCTTACTATGTTATTCAGCTAAGTTTGATCAAGTGGGAAGATTATGTAATAACTTAGCTATAAGAGGAAGTCAGATGCCTACTGGACTCTTGCTACGCAAACCTATGCTTTTTTTGCAGTTGCCTGGGAGAAGCAGATTGCTTGCAAATAACAGCAAAAAGGGAAATACTTTGTCAGATGCCACTGAAAATGTAATAATTTAAGAATTAAGAGCAGAAAGTTTGGTTCACTGCAATAGTACAGAAAAAACACACTGATAAAATAAGCAAAATATTTTCTAGATGAGAGCACTCTAGTCAGAAGCACATGAAAACCATATGTACATATTGATCACATTAAGTTTTCAATCCAGTGATGGTAATCTTGCTTGGAAAATTTCTGTGCAACTACATTGAAGGACACCAAAACTAACAGTAGACAATTTAGAGATTTTTTTAGCAAAAATTCTAACAATATATAACAAGAGAAAAATTAATCTTCTGAGGCTATCTGCCAGCAGGGCAGTCATAAGCTAAGCACAAACTCGAGCTACTAAGGCATCCCAGGCTGCTTAAGGAACTAACAGTATGCAACAAACACAAATCAAAATTAGAAAAACATTTACCTGCATTGTTCGGGGCAGCTGATGCATAAGAGAACAGGAACAAGAGTTTAAGCAGCTTAGGAGTCTGGCTATGATGAATTATACCACTTACGATCTACGAAAGGACCAGAAATTAACACCTAAACACAGACTAAGACTGTAGCATAAAAAAATAAAAAACCCTCTCCCAGGTTTTAAACAAAACTGTTCAATGGGTTCTATCTTCTACAGCTGAAAACTGACTTTTAGAAAGCTTCCTCTGTCTGCAAGACACGTTACCTACTTGGCTTAATAAGAAGTATTATACATGTTCAACTTCCAGAATGATTCTTACTATTTAAATACAGGTAGTAGACTCCTAGTTTGGAGCTCAGATTAACCTGTCAAAAGAACTCAAGTTATCAGGAAAATAACTTTTCAGATGAAAAAGGCTGAAGTCTAAAATGTAATAAAATTACATATCACAAACATAACAGCTTTACAAGTTCACTTGAGTTGAAACTAATTTCATGCAGTACTCTCAAGCTCCAGTTTTCGTCAAATAGCCAGTGCATCTCACCTTTTTAACTGCTATACATAACAATGTTTAATGAGCAAGGTTAGCTAGAAATCAAAGTCTTTTACTTTGTTTCTCAGTTGAGAATGATCAGAAAAACACTTCAAGTTTAAGGGATCTCTCAGGGTGAATTTCATCCTTCCCTCACCCTCACAACTAAACACCCAACACAAAGCCAAAAAAAGAAAAACAAATGAAGTTACTATACTTACTCTTTTCACTTCCTCTTCTTTTGTGTATCTCAAGCAGAAGTGAAATACTCTAAGGTCTTTACAGTAGATAATCAGCTTCTCTGGGTATTTTTTCAGTTGTCCAGTTAGAAGTTTCTTTTTCTCGTCATAAACTGCAAAATTAAAAAGTCTAAGTAAATATCATAAAGAACTTTGCCATTGATAAAGCTATCCCTGCTTGACTTTTCAAAATTATCATGAAAATAATTCAAGCTGAAGTTTCAGCAAGTCAGAACAAGCATTCTACAACACAGACTGGCAAGCTCTTGTACTAATAGCACAACAACAAGCTGTTGAACTTTTTTTATTTTTTTTAAACCCACTCAACCTACTTCCTGCAAGGTAGAAACCAACCTTGCAGTAAGCCAGATGCATAGTGATTGTTTCTGAACTTACTATGCAGTCAGAATGTGAACAAAGTTGAGATGCATGAAGAACATAATGTAGTAGTTTTGCCAAATGGAAAGTCCCCCAACAACTGAGATTATTATAAGTTCCAGGAAAAAAAGTGGCTTTTTTAGCCACCATAAAATGCCCAAGAGAACCCTTTTTTCACTTCTGTTTGAGGACCTGTCACTTGGAACTTCAAGTGCTGCCAGCTAGCTCATTGTATATGAAACGAAACAGTGTATCATAACCACCTTCCACCAGTCTCCCCCTAGTCCACTCCTTCATGAATCCACACCACCATTCACAAATAGTCCGAATACTCCCAACACCAGTCTAAAGTCAGGCTCCTCAATAAAGCCTTCCCCACTACTTGCAAATTACCAGCCCTACTCTCATTCACCTTTTTCAGCAATACAGGCACACCTGTAAGCCCTGCTGCAAAACACTCATTGATCCACTCGTAAATTAAAACCTTCCTTTCTATCTCCTTTGATATTTTGAAGTAATCACGAACTTCATAGAGCAAAGTTCCCTTAGCCAAACAAAACGTATCGTTTGGGAATTTGGTACCTCTACTGCTCTGCAGTGCTACTGCTCAAACGAAGTGAAAACTTCTGTATTTACAGAAATAGTTGATACACTGGAAGGTCCTTGTGCACCAGTCTTAACCACAGACTTTTCACAGTACACTCTTCCTTCCTCTGAATCACAGCACTTTGAAGGAATTGTTTTGTCTGTCCCAGCAAGATAATCAATCAAAACGTAGCTTTGACAAGCTTGAGGGAGAAGACTGGATTCTGATAGATCTCTTATCTGTTATTTCATCACTAAATATAACCTCAGCTGTTTTTTTTCCCCCAGACTACCCAATCTTAGCTTCCAAAGCAACAACTCTACCCCTTTTCTAAAAAGGATGTATGTGTACAGACAAAGAGCACCAGCATTTTAAGACATCTGGAAGTGTGAGGTATGCAAAACAAAATGGAGAAAGCTGACCTACCTCCATAGATCTGATCTACACATTGCAGGGTTATGTCATTTTCTCCTATGATCTTATTCTTAAATTGTGGCTCCTAGAACATGAAAAAAATTCTTAGAAATCTCACACTCCTAAGCAGTAGTACCTTCTCACAAGTAAAGGATGTATTCAGTACATATTAATGTCAGCATTATGACTTATAAGATGTATTAAGACAGAACACTGAAAGACAGTTATTAAAATACAGATGCAGGTTACACAGCCATAGTTCATAAACTGCAGATCCAGTTTTATTTAAGTCTCAGTCACGCTTGAATTTTAATTTTCAAATAGCTTCAAAGCATGCATTTCTATTGAGTCACTTTTCAAACCAGAAACATTGCAGTAAACAGGAAATACAGTAACTTGATGTAATCCAAGCCCTTTTATGACAAGTTTCCTTGCTATGGGAACCTGGCAGGAAATAGAAAGTCTCTTAAAAGAACAAGTATCCCAAGAATATTCCAACTTAACAGTCAGATTTATCACTGAGTAAAATAAAGACACACACAACCACATTCTTATCTACTGTTTTGCCAAACTTGAAGCAATTTGGGCTCCCTTCGCTTTTATCGTTCCATGACCTCAGACTTAAAAATGACATTCGAGTGCTGGCACAACTAAACATTGTTATGTTAAATATTACCATCAACAAGTTACATTTTACATGAAGACAGCTGTGAACAGAGTTAACCTCACTGAAGTTATCTCCAGGCTTGCACTACTCTGAATCAGCTGGCTAACAGAGAACTTTTGTTCAGGGAAGTATAGTCGACTTGGTATGCTATAAACCCGAGACTTAAAGTTAGCGATGGAACAGAAATCAGCATGGTCACTACAAAATTTAGCATAAACCTCACGTGAACCACAGAAAGGGCTCTGCAGCTTTGTCCCAATTATTTCCAGAAGGTCCCAAAATCCATTTTTGGCTGCAGAAGCCCCAGTTTAACATTTAAACTCCCTGACGTTTTACCCCAAGAAACTTCTGATTACAATTAACATGTCAAATTGTATTCTTCTCATTCTTCAGCATCAAGATCACCTTGTACTCAAGAGCCATACAGTAGGCTCTCCTTCACTTTTTATCACCTAAACAGACCAGGCCATTTCAGATACATAAGCACACCAGGAAAGGTGTGGCATTATCATTCCCCTTTGACAGCTCAAATTGAGCACCTAAAACAAAGCAAACAAGATTCAACTCATTCCTAAGATCTGGGGACTTTTTAGCTTTTTGTAATGTTTGCCAGCTCAATAGTACCAGGTTTTTAAATCATTGCAGTCAACATCTGACTTCGAACAGAATAATTCAGAGCACTGAATTCAGCCACACAAGCAATCATCTAGAGCATTCCCACTGAATTCAGGCTACTGTCTTGTGCAGTCCTGAAATGGTTCTGCAGAAGTAGCCCAACATCAAGTTAGACAGATGTTATACAACATTAGAAGTATGTTTGACATTCACACTTTCGCAATTGCTACTAGATAAGCAGTCAGAAATCAGGTTTAAACAAACCGCTGATTTAATTTAAAAAAAAAATCTTTTTTAGCTTCACAAAACTACCAGCTCACAAGATATGAAGAGTTATAAACTACGTCTAATATAAGTGTCCACACTTGGGACATGGCTTGCATTTTTACTTAGTTATTAGAGCTTGAAGAAGGATCTGCATAGATCAAGCAGATGTGGACAGATTAAAATTAGTGTGCAGCCATTAACTTTTTATAAATCTACATTCATTCTGCATCCTTATATGAGGGAAAGATATGATTATTTAGTCAGAAAGACTACATGTCTTCAGAGCCTGTCTGGTCATAATTAGAAGTCTTGTCTTCCTACATTATCATCTGAAGCAGAGTCATCATCAAGGAAAGCAATCTTGAAGTTTGTGCATATAAGCTTTCCATAGGTGCCACGATTTGAGCCATCTTCTTGTATATACTTGTACACCGTGCTTGCCTCACAAAGCAGCAGTTCACCTGTATAAAAGAAACATGGACTTGCAACAAAACTGACATTTATAATTGACTTCTTTCATCTGCTGTCTTTAACTCACATTAACTTCCTGACAGCTTCTCACAACTGTATGCCTGAAGATATTTCATCACTGTTACACAAACAGACTCAGTAAAAAGAATTAGTGCATGGAGAGTCTTCCAGGTTATTAACATTACTCAACACGGACTGAGCACTGCTCAACTGCACACATTTAGGAGTTTTGTACCTGTACAGAAGTACTGTATAATGGCTTAATCTAAGCAGCAGGAGAACAACACCTGGAGGTGCAGAGAGCAACCATACAGACATGTACTCAAACAGACCCCACAGCCCACTGCAGAGTAGTTGATACAGTTAATAAACAAGTGCAAAACTACTCTAGTTTTCCTTACTGTTCAACTCTAACAATGCTGAAACATTGTGTTTAATAATTCATTGAATTATTACAAGTTCATCACAGTTAATTTTTCATAGCTTTGACTGGAGATGTTGCTATTTTAAAGTTCTCAAGCACAAGTTTGCATAAATAAGGGTCAACAAAGTTCTAATATTTAAATAAGCAGGAACTGAACTTCAAGTTTAAGAAAGCAAAACCAGGTTTTAATAGGTATTATCAGCCGAACTCTTGGTCATTCCTACAAAGCGCAGAAAACCCAACACAACAATACTAGTTTTTTCTAAGCTTTTATTTGTATTTATCTTAGTGATGTCATCTTTCCTGATCTTTGAAAGCACTTTTTAAAAAGAAAGAAAATGTAAATTAAAATAAAAATCTTAACAGTGAATGAGGCATCAAAAAGCCTAAGTAAGTCAAAGTAGAAGCAAAGCAACTAGAATGTAAGTTTCCACTAGTTCTTAGTCTACAGTTCCCAAACAAACAAAAAAACCCCAATTTTATCTTTCAAGAAACAAGTCAAACTGAAGTATAAACAGTACTCCGCATGCAGCTCAACTGAAGATACTTTACTGTATAAAAAAAAGTCAGGTTTTATAATTTTTTTCCAACAACCAATGCTGATACAGATATTTAAAAACATTTCAACATGTGTGGGTTGTTACAACAAGACCTCTATTTCAGTACTTGGGACACTGATGTCACATGAGTGTTTGCTGCACAGATACAGCAATATTTAAATATTGTTTACATGATTAATTTTTTATTATTTAATTCCAATAATACAATATGCAACAGTTACCTGGCAACAAGCGAGGATTTACTTCCTTTTCTGTGGGTTCCTTTATGTGTATTTCCTAAGGACAGAAAGAGTAATTAACACATGCCATAAATAACAGCACCCTTCCTCTTAAATTCCTCACATTCTAGCAAATAGGTATAATTAAAATTAAGGAAAAAACTTCCTAAATTAAGGAGAATAAGTTTGCAACATGCTCCTTCCACTAAAGGTCAGTACTCTACTAGGTAAACAATTAAGTCAGCGGTTTGACACCCACAGTGTCAGTTACACGCAGTTGTGAACACAAAAAAGGAAACACATTGTTTGTATAAGCGACACAGAAATAAAGCATTACCCATGCTTAAAGTTCTCTCATCACATGTAAACGGATAACCACAAACTCAGTTTAACACCACCATCTCCCAGAGTTCAATCATAAGCTTTTCAATGTATTTGTTTCTAATGTACCCTTCACAGATCTTCAGGCTTCACCCTTCATCATCTGTTTCTGATTTGCTTTCATGTATTATTGCAATCAAAGTACAAAAGTTACTAAAACAGTACTACCAAGGTTATACAGAAAGGTATTTTCAGAAGCTCAGAGCCAAGAGGTAAAACCATTCACAGGATATCCTTTAGTTTAGACCCAAATTGTACAAAACAGAGCTATTAAATTCTCAGTATCACTTATTCTAGCCTTCAGGCACTGATAGGTGGGCTAAAATTTCCAGCCAAAAGACTATGAAACTGAAGGACATGCTACACCCTTCCTGCTCAGCCAGTTCACAACTTCCTCCTCCAAGTCCAAATGACTTCACATAGATTGGAGTTTTTCTGGAAAACTATTAGTTAACTGGAAACCCCCCCAAGGGTCACAGCAGTAAGCAAGCTAATTTTAGTTTGTCACCAGTATCCAGAGTCAGATATTGCAAATCCAGGCAAGCAATCAAAAGGAGACATAAGCAATAACAGTTTTGTTGGATTAGATACAGAGAAACAAAAGTCCCTGAGAGCATAAAAATAATCCTCCTTTGCCATATCATATAAACACTGACTCTCAACTCTCAGAAGACCCAAAACAAGGCTTAACGGGTGCACAGCAAAACTAAAACCACCAGGAAACGGTGTCATGAGAACAGCAGAGACATTCAAGACAGGCTGAAGAGAGGCAAAGGTTGTAAAATGAAAGTGGTGATGTGAAGAAAGAAATCTGTAACTACATCTGGCAGCTAATATGGAAAATTGCAGCCTTCCAGTACTTAAAGGGGGCCTACAGGAAAGCTGGAGAGGGACTTTTTCCAAGGGCATGTAGTGATAGAACAAGGGGTAATGGCCTTAAACTGAAAGAGGGGAGATTTAAATTGGATATAAAGAAGAAATTCTTCACTCAGAGTGGTGAGGCACTGGAACAGGTTGCCCAGAGAAGTTGTAGATGCCCCATCCCTGGAAGTGTTCAAGGCCAGGTTGGATGAGGCTTTGGGCAACCTGGTGTAGTGGAGGATTTCTCTGCCCATGGCAGGGGAGTTGGAATTAGATGACCTTTGAGGTCCCTTCCAACCCAAACCATTCCAGGATTCTATAAAATAAAATACAATTTGCTGCTTTTGACATCAAGTGTGGACATTGTACAAGTAAATTTTCATCAAAGTTCATGCTTGTCAGCTAAGTAAGTTTCTCTGCTAACATGGCTCAAGCTGGATACTGCTGCATTCAGAGAGGAAATACATACACGTTTTCCCAATGCTGTCTCTTCACCTCCGGTAGCTCTAAGCTAAGCTGTGGGTTCACGCGTGCCTTTACAGCTATGCCTTCTACTATCACTGCTTGTGTGCAGCTAAACGCAACACTGTTTGCTCACAACTATATGCCAACAGTCACCACTACAGAAGAGTAAAGCAGTACACTAACTACGTGCTTTTCCAGTAACTTTTACTTTGAGAGGTATCATAAGGCATGTAATAACTACTGTTTATGTATACACACTGCTTGAATGTTTGCACTTATTGCCACAAGTACTAGTTTATGCTAGTGTTGGCAGATACGACCTGAGGAAAATAAACAACCAACACTTGACTCCAAAGAATTTCTTTGCACTTACATCCGTTTGTTAAAATGCACGGAAGTTTTTATAACAGGTATCACACAGGCACACAATTTTGAACAAATGGCTTGAGTTTTGGTTACAAGTTAAACTGGTTACCTACTGAAAAGAATTAGAATTTTAATTAAATAAGCAGAACAAAGACATCAGTTAAACACAAGGTCAGCCTGTAAAATCCAGTTTCACTTTGTTGACAAAAGTCCACAGACATTGAAGTGCTTACTATAGGCAGAATTCCTACAACATCGAGCAGCTTCCAAGAACTGAGCCTCCAGAAGAGTTCGATTAGAAAGTAAATGTTTCTATTTCCATAATAAAATAATAAATATTTTGAAGACAGTTTTCATACATGTGCACTAGGGATAGCTAGAATGCAAGCCATGAACACTGCTGAAGAATCCACATTGCTGCGCCCATTTTCCAAGGGAGGATATTAAAATACATTAAATTCTACTAATGTCACATTTTACATTTGCTCTTCTAAGAGAGAGGGCAAAGGTCTTTATGAAGAAAACTTGTCAACTCACCATGAGCCAGTGCAAGTTGTGCAGGAACCCACAAGCTTCGCTAACATTTCCACTCTGTTTCAACTTTCTTTTTCTGATGGATTTGTTTTGGGGCAACGCAGATTTTAGGACTAACTTAAGTGCCCGCTGACACTAAAATGCATGCTTCTCAACACCCGCTTAATCAGTCACACCGTTCATACTCACCCACCTGCCCTTTCATCCCTGGGTTTGTCTGACTACGTGGTGAGGTAATTTGGTTCACAGGATCAGCTGGAAAGCCTGTACTTGTGCTACGATTGTTCTTGTTGATGAGCCAGTTCTGCTAACAATAGGCAGTAACAACAGGTCAGATGAGCACAGAAACAAAAGAAAGGGAACCAACAGAAGCAAGTCTGTCCCTTTCCACACTACTCTCTTAGTAGACGGAAAGGAGACTCTCCCTTTCCAGCTACCAAATCCACTTAGACCTTGGGAAACTTCACCCTCTGACCATTTGTTGAAGGTGAGCATGCACGCACTTTCCATACATGACTACCGAAAGCCACAGACACCTCTGGATAGATACTTCACCTGTAGCTTTCTCATTCTGAATGCCCCAAGCCACATCTTGGCACTTCTTAGTCAAGATACAACACAGGAAACCCTACTACCAGCAACAGCTAAGAGCAGATAGCCATAGGACACCACGCAAATGAGGAAAACTAACTTCAGATTGCCTCAGAAATGACACAACGACCTCAACTTTGTCGAAGGTTTTGGGAACTTCTTACTCACAGATGTTTCCCATCTGTGTGCTTACCCTGTGCTACATTCTTCTTTCCAGGTTAAACAGTGGGAGGTAATACAGCAACACCCCAAAATTATCAGAGTACCAAACCATACCAAAACTGCAGGCTGACATGTCACACTATGCTAATTCACAACGTGTCATCCTTCTCATAAGTTCAAACCAACTTCAGCTGATAGTGCTATGAAATCATCAAGTTCCAGCAGAGGCACCATGCTCCTTGCAGATTCTCTGCTTCAACAAGGGGGAAACAACACAATAGCCAAACTGTTTTTCTTAAGGAAAGCCTTACCTCCTCCTCTTCTGGGTTTTTACCTGAGTATAGGTAATGGCACACTTTGCAGTACTCTGGGGACCACATTCATTTCTCCCCTAAAAATATATTTAAAGGAGCTAAAATACATTCCTCAAGTCTGTCTGGGCAGACATTTCTTTCCCAAGTGCAGAAGCATAAAAGAGCCACCACGTGTAAGTCAGTACTGAGTTAAGGCAGTTAGATCAAGTAGGAATTATGCCATCTTAATAGGGCCCTAACAGTCCGGGCAGGAGACGGATCCCAAATGATTCCTGCCCTTTCTACTAGAGCCTCACCACAATTGAGGGCAATTCCTCTCCTCCCACTCTATAGGGAGTTAAACGACTATGGACAGAAAATGAGTAAAAAGTAGACATGTTCCCTCCATACTAGTATCTAGATCACTCTCTAGTATCTAGATCTCATCAGAGAAATTGGATTTTTTTTTTTTTTAAATCAGTATTGCAAAACAGATATACAGGCATATTGATAGCGGACATTGCTCATTACTCTCAGCAGAGAGACCATGCATACAGTCTGCTGCTGCAAACTATATTGCTGTAAACACTGAACCTACATTACCCCACAGTAATGCTTCCATTTATCCATAGCTGGATATTGGTGCGAGAAGTAACTCCAACGATGGAAAAGAAGATTTTCAGTAAACATACTAGGAAAAACACTGAATCTTACACGAAGGAACCAGTTACACTTCCAGCATTTCAAGAGCACTGGCTGAAACATAGGTTCTTTCAAGGCTGGTAGCAAATAGTAGTGCTATGAGAACACAGGCTACTTTAATATTATTATATGGTTTTCCTATAGTAATCTCTCCACAGGAAAGCTCTACACCATGGTGGGGCTTGCTGTGAATGTCCATTTTTTCTTATTTACTTTTACTTCACTAGAAGACTAACGAAGGGCTGAGAGAGCTTTCTTAACTATACATTTATCTTTACCAGTTGTAAAACAAACTGTATACTGAAATATTTGCAAGCTAGTTGTGGTGCTCCAACAAGTGAGTACAGTATTTCTGAGTAAAACACATCAAACTTGTGTCTAATAGTTCCACTGGAACGTCATGCAAAAGAGGAAATACCTGTGCACATGCTTAGCATGTACTTTGCATTCAGAAATGAACCACAATACATACTTGGTATTTTCTGAAAGACAACTTCTTGGTCAAACGAGCCTATTCCCGTGTTGTATGCCATACAATCCAGAAGAGATACTACACTCTAATAACAGTGCTGAAAATAATCTCTAAATGCTTGTTTTCCTTCCTTTCACAGCTCCATTATCCAATAGCCTATTAGGTCATAGCGCATGTTTTCCATGTCCTTTTCATCTTTTATCCTTTCCTCTTTCCTTACATTGTCCTGTCCATCTCCTCTGACTTCAACACTCAGCTTCCCCCACGTCAGCCCAGAACCCAGCTGCCCACTTCGGTAACTCCTATTCCTTACGCTACCCTTCAATTCCATCACTCCAATTTAGAAGGAGTGCCATACTACTTTAAAAGCGACAACTGCAGAACACACAGTTCTGTACCAAGACTTAGAAGCAGCAAGTATTCACAGTGGTTACGAGCTAATAATAACGCACAATTTGAGAGACAAAGCACAAGAGGTACGAAAGTTACCCTCACAACTCCGCAGCCTGAGGTGTACTCCAGATTTCAGGGACAAGCAGGATGAAACAGAACAAACTCTTTCGAAGTTTAAGGGCTAACTAATATCCTATAGGAACTAACATGAAGGATTTAACTTTTAAGAATGCATGTCCAAAAAGTAACATTAAGCTTCAAATCAAGTTTAATATCTATATTTTTACTGAAATTAAAATTTTAAAGGAAAATATGATCCAGCTTGTTTGCCTTGCAAACACTTTCAGTTTTGAAATATTAGAAATCATGAAGTAATTCACTGGTTCTTGTTTCTACGTCTCCACAGGCAAATATTCCTAGTCTATGATCAGACATGTCAAAACATTGACTTTATACCCTAGTGTTCACCCAACTTCCTGCATGGTAGCCAAGTCTGTCCTGAGGGGAAGTGTGTCATTAATATCAACATCCTACGGTCTCGCTCTCAACAGACCATTGATTGATCTGTGGTTCCATATAGCACAGCATAACTAGGTTATATTTAGTCAGATGTTAAAAACACTGCTTTTCCAGACGTTCTGGAGTTTCACAGCGGAAATCACTTCTGTTCCGTTAATAAACAGCATTTTCTGTTCACTCCTTACTTCCATCTTGCCATATACTAACATGAATAGGGTTCCTGTTTCTTCTCATATCCAAACAAACAACTCCTAAAAGCAGTTTAAAGCTAAATTCATTTTCTTTTTCCGAACATTATCTAGTGTGTCCCTCAGGTATCTGAAGACAGACTAAATAAGCTGGGCCTAGAACATAACTCAGCTCTGCCTGTTGTATATTCTTATTGTAGGGCTCCCCTACACTAGAAGCAGCAGTTTAAGGTCTCAAACAATTCTCCAGACAAACAAGGACAAGTCCAGAGAATCTGGAGGTTGCAAGCAAGGAGGGACTATAGCATAACGTTACTGTATTGCTCCGTATTGCATAGCTGTTGACCAAAAGTCTTGCTGCAAGTCAGACGTATAAACAGATTCAAGGCAAGGCTTTGTCAGTTCACCAAGTCCACCATTAGCTCAAAAGCTATCTAGATGTAACCTCAAGCTCATTAAGTCCTTGAACTGCTGTTTCCCATCTTTCAACAGGGTCAACCAGAGGAAGCATCGCCCTGAACACACCTGTTGCCTGTACTCTACTCTTCCCCAAGCATCTGGCAGTTACACTATCTCGACAAAGGGAAAGTTCCCAGTTGGCCAAACTACGCTCCACATAAGAGGAGTTAAGTATTTCCACTGTTCTATCGGTGTAGTCTCAAATACACTCAACTACATGAAAGTTAACTTGTACAGGAAACTTGTGTTCAGAAAGTCATTTTTCTCAGGCACATACAGAATACAGTTCCTTGAGAGATGCCCACTTCTGCTTATTTTAGGATATCTATCAACATGCTTTTTCCAGATCCTCAAATAAGCCTCACAGGTTTCAGTATATACCTAAAGTTTTATTTTTAATCCTCATAAAACCCACCAAAGTCTTCAGCTTCCTGTGTAACCACTCCATTAAGGCAGTCACAGGCTGTCAAAAAGAAAGCAATACCCAAAAGAGCGAAGAGTTAAACTTGCTTTACTTGCTACTGGCATCAGACCTCAGTTTCACTTGGCTTTTAAGGTGCAAAAGAGACACCAATTCTATGGCAGAAGTCAGGTACGTATTTCACAGCTGCTGCTGCAAGAGCCCACAAAATTCTTAAATTTAAGTGCATAAAAGCGATGGTTAAAGCAGCATGAGTACATAAAGAGCAAATGACTGCAAGCTCCAGTACATCAGGGTATTTCATTAAGAGCTTCATCTTCCAATATTAAATACTTTCAT